CCCCAAAACCCCAAAACCCCAAAACCCCAAAACCCCAAAACCCCGAAATTAATAGTGACTGCTGAAATTATTCAATTGTGTATCGATTAGTTCCTTTGTCTATATACAGTGAATTGAGATCCCAGTTTTCCTTATCTGGATCAGAGAAGTTCTGCATCTTATTGAAGAAGTCTTCAAAATCAAAGAGCTCAAAGTACTCTTCAGCTTCAAATATGGCATTTCGGAGTCAGCTTGATCTAATCTCTAACTCTTCGTCTGTTAAGGAATGGTAAGGTTTCCTAGCGTTCTTGGGTAACCTCTCTTCGAGCTTTTTATCCAGAATTTCGTCTAATTTTAGACCGAAAAAGTATGCTTTCAAGATCTGCTTATTACTGGCATCTTTATGTAGGTTAAAATTGATTTTATATTCTCTTTTATGCGACCACCTTCTTGGTAGAATTGTCTTTCTGTATCTGGGCCAGTGAACGTAATACAAAAATTTGCGCTCATTGTTCTTAGCCTGATCAATCAGACTGTCAGCAGTAGAATGCCTGTTATTCTTCTTTAGAAAATTAATTTGCTCTAGAATATGAGGCTTAAGAGCTTACTTGCGAGAGAAAAGACTCCAAAGTTTGTCACAAATTCATTTTGGGGATTGAAGAGAGAAGGAATCCAGAAAGCTTCTCTTTTATTCACCTCTTTGACATCGAGGATTTTACCAGATTTCATGTATTCCTCAAAGAGGATGTAAAACCTTTGTTTGTTAAAATTACTTTCATCCAACACTCTTGTGGCCTTGTATGAGCAAACAATGTTTAATAGTGTTAGGGAAGCAAAAAGAGGCGCTATTGTGTAGATTGATGAAATATTTCATGCTTTGGAGATCACAAGGCCTACGCCCATTCCTACCAAACTTGATGTCGTAAATTGTGTGACTCCTTTACCAGCGATATCTCCAATATTACTTTTCTTGGCGAATCTGAGGTTAATACTTGCTCTTGTAGCTGCTGCTCAAAGGAAGGTAACATTTTTACCCATATTAGCTAGAGATGCTAAGTATATGAACGCTCCAGGGAACCTAAGGGTGATCATTTCAACAATTATAGAGATATTAAAGAGAATCATGCACATGAACCTCCACTTCTTAACATCTTCATCAAAACTTTTACCATATTTCCCTGCGAATAGAATACCTCCCAGTTGGCCTATTCCGTCCTTAAGGACCCAGATATATGCTGCTGAGTACAATGAAGCTTGTGTGGTAGTCGACCCTAGTGCTACAAACAGAGCCTGGGTAGAAATGAAGTTAAGGATCGTAATAGCAGTTGCACTTAATGAGGAATATATAGCGAACTTGGCATAGCCCTTATTCACGGAATGAGGGTACCCATTAGGCAAAAAGTAATACGCGAAGTTCTCCTGCATCTCCTTCGTTGAGAAAATAAAATGCTTTTTAACCGGATTGTACTCTTTCACTTTGTTGTTAGAATCAAGAACGATATTTGAGTGATCTGGCTCAGAGAGTTTGGAATAGTTTGTGATGTTTATTTGGCCATTTGGGGAGTTCTTCTGAGGTGGGGAGTTGGGCTTGTCGTCTTCGGTATTGTTGAATGAGGATTGTGAGATATTTGTGTCTAGTTCTCCCACTTGTTCTGTAATTTTGTACCTTCTTTGTAGTCATACTAGTTCTCTTGAATTTGAATTGGAATGAGCGTCTAAAAAGTATGGTTACTCAGGGAGATTCAACAAAATACTAAAACTAAGGCTTTTGGAGAGTAAAACTAAATATATAGAGTTTGTGTTCTTTAACAAGAAATATCAAAAATTTATTGAAAACGCTCTCTAATTTTCTAAAGCTCATTACTCCTTATCTTCAGTTGATTAAATGAATGAAACCCTCTATTATGCTGTGAGAAGACTGAGTTTTTCCAATTCCACATTCCTTGATGTATCTCTGTACTCTCTATACCCAACTTATTCGCTCCAAATCTCCTTCAAACCCTCACTTTGGCAAGCTTGGATCTTAAACCTCCATATTGGATCATGGTTTAGTGTTACCTAAATATTATAACTTTTTCTCTATCAATTACGCCCTTGTCGTCCGGGGTTTTGGGGTTTTGGGGTTTTGGGGTTTTGGGGTTTTGGGG